GCGGAAGCTCTTTGCTTACATTTCTTCAGGGGAAGGAGCAAATGTTTGTCCAGACTGTGAAGGCTGCTTTGCTGCCCTCTGCTGGGGAAAGCCATACAGAGTCCCAACTCTTGGCGACGACACTAGATAGCGCTACAGAGAAATTTTCTTTTTCATGGATGGTGTATTTTTGTGATTTCATACTTTTTAACCAGCTCGCTACTGTTTTCGAGGCTGGGCGCTAGTGCCAGCCAAGTGGCTACTGAGAAGCAGATCGAGGAGCTTGCGGGCCTTTTCAAAACCACAATGGAGAAGCTACTGAGCGAGGCCCCGTCTGAAGGAACACCCCCTGAGAAAATTCCGGAGGCCAGCCAGAAGCTTGACAAGTGTCTGGAGGCATTCGCGTCAGTCGCAGGATCCACACCTCCGGAGGGTCAGGAGGCGACATTAGAACTAGCCATTCCGGAGCAGAAGCAGCAAGAGGGTGAAGTCTTCCCTGAGCCCTCGCAGCAGCAGAAGCAGCCAGACTTCTCTGAGCCCTTGCAGCCGCAGCCGCCGGGGGAATGCTGGTCTCTGGATGGTGAGCCTCTGGAAGAGGATGATACAGTCCCAGGGGAACTAGAAATTGAGACCAAAGAGTCGTTGAAGGGAAAATCAGAAGGTTCCTAGTTTGAGATTTTGATAATTTTGCATTTGTCCAGGTTAAAGTGTCCAGGACCAGTTTCTTTGTGTTTGGTTTCCAATCAGCTAAGATGAAATCCTGGAGCTCCATGCGCAAGGGCGGGTGCCAGTGACATTGATCAACACATCCAACTGTCGCAAGATGGCTATGCGTTTGCGGCGACGTTGTGAAAATTCTGAGCTCATTAGCAACTGCCCCCAAATGTCAGCTCTGTTCAATGGTTCTGACGCAGACCGCTTGAAGCTCCTTCGACAATGGCTAAACAGTGGTGAGGTCATGGAGAAATGTGAGCATGCCATCGAGATTACCAAGTCTGTGGAGAATCTCTTCGAAGGTGAGGAGCATCTCTTGACCGTTGCTGAAATGCGCAAGCACGGAGTGTCAGAGAGTCTGGGCTCATTTCTTTTGAGCTGCTCTTGTATTGCGTTTACGCGTTCTCTTTTTAACCTTTGCCGCTGTCATCAGCCAAGGAAGAAAATTGCTGTCATCTGCGCCACGCAGCGCCCAATTTTGGACCCACAGTGTCCAGAAGTAGAGGAGGAAGCCCGATTCTGGGTGACCATTCTTCAGAAGAGGGTCACTAAGAAAGCTAGCAAGATGGAATACAAAGCTCATGCCAAGGTGAAGGCAAACGCTGACGCCATTGATGCTTTGACCTCTGGGATTGGGGGTCCGTCTTCTTCCGCAGCGGGTGCTGTTGACATGTCTAGGGTTCTCGCTGGAGGTGGTTTAGCTGAAAATTGGTGTCACTGTCTCATGCGGCTTTGATAAGGTCTTAATCCGCTTTTTGGGGCCACCCTTGAACATCTTAGGCAATGCTCCTGCTCCGGATCCAAAGCCTGCTGATGGAGACACGAGGAGGCGCAGGAAGACTCCCAAGGCTAAAGCAAAAGCAAAAGTGGAGAAAACCGTTCAGGAGCCTGAAACATGGGAGGAATGGATTGAAAACTGCCGTAACCTGGGCCGATGTTTACAGACATGTTGGCAGCAAAGTGCGTTGTTTGTTCTTTTCTTGTTTTGTTGTGAGGTAATGACTTGCGCAAGTCCTATGAAGCTTGCAGCGTGTCAATGGATCTTCCAAAAGATCTTGAACTCAGAAAGCAAATCAACTTGGTGAAGGTCGAGGTCGCCCAGCTTAATGATCAAATGAGGGAGATCGATGTGGACTCAGTTGATGAGAAGAAGCTTCTTGCCTCAGGGGCATCGGCAAAAAAGAAGGCGGTGTTTTTGAAAGGGAATCAGTTTACAGTTACAACGAGAAACCTTTTTCATGTTGTTTTCTTGTGAGCCATGCTGGCAGATCGATCAAGTGAAGATGCTGGTTGCCCAAGCCAAAGCGGTCCAGCGCCAGTTGAAGCAGAAGTGATGCAATGGCATCCATTACATGAATATCTTGCGCTTTTTGTAGGGGTTCAGCATACAATGTATGCATGGGTCACACCGTCCACTTCAGTTCTGTTAGACGTGACCTCTGGAGAGAAGTCGAAGAGTGAATCTCAGAGTGGTGTTAAGATGTTGCGGATGGGTTTCTTTTGCATAGCACTTCAGGTCACCTCACCTAGCTATAGATTAGATTTGTTTTCAAACCTGTGGAGGTGCTGTTCTCGCTGGCGTACGACAACAACTTGATGAAGAGAGCCATGGATTCTCCCAAGAACTGTTGATTTTGTCTTACTTCAAATTTCCAGATGCCCTGTGTTTTGTATTGATCGTTGCCTTCTTTGAGGATCGCGAAGGCCTTTGGAGAAGGACAATTGCCGCAGAACCTTGCTGAACGCCTTGGCCGTATATATGAATCAAACACCTTTGGACTGGCTGTGCTGTTTTGGCTTGGTCAAAGTCGCTCGGCGTGCTATTTCTTGCAATAGCTCTTGTGAAGTGCAAACAGTCTTTGCTTCGCACAGTGAGACAACTTCTGCTGCGACCCTCACTGACAAAGGGCTCCGACCCTCGCACTGCCTGCGTCCGCTGCGACAGAGTTGATTCTGTAAAGGCGAAATGGAAGGTGTGCACGGAAAGGGTGTCAGCAAAAAAATGCGTCTACGAAGTTAGTACATCAAAAATACCTTCCTCTCCGAAGATTTCTGCTCTTTTTGGTACGGTTTGTTTTCCTAAGGGTCCACCACTCCACAAATGGTCCGCGATATTCGGATCTCTCGGGAAGAGTGTCAAGCGGGTCGACCGGCTGAAGACGAGCGATGTGAATTGGATGAAGCTGATGGCATAGAGGGAAGGAGTGTGGCATCAGTCGCAATTGAGAGACCCACCCTCAGCCTAGAAAATTTTAGAAATTCGTGGACTTGAATCTCATTGCGTCCACGCTGCATGTAGACCCATCCACGTCTTACATCCAACTCCGACTCTTCAGATCTCCAACGCGAACGCATCTTCCGTCCTCCGCGCGCGAACACGTCGTCCCGGGGAACCTCCCCCTTTTCGTCCACGGTTCGCCAGCCACTGGACGCTTCGGAGGATCGGCCTGAGGCCCGGCCGAGGCCGCCGTCGGAACGCAGCCGATGCGGCGATGCGGTGGACACTTCGTGGTGGAAGTTCGGTTGACTTCAAAAGGACCCAATTAGCCGTATGGGCGTCTCACCAAGATTCTGTCGGATGGTATCGGTATATGTATGTATTTTGGTCGAAATGTATTCTTCCAAAAATGGCTGAAAGTCGTGTTCACATGGGGGCCCGCTACATATTCTTTACTTTTGGCACGCACACAGGTCAATGAAGGAAACATGGACCAAACAAGTATTGGCACCAAGTTGTAAGAGGCGTCACTAGCGCTGCACCGTTTTCAGCTGATCTCCGAGCTTCAAGCCATGCTTGAAACAAAAGACATGTTGCAAGTCAGCCTTGGAAGGGTCCACGCTGGAATCTGGCAATGTTTGCTAAATCTAGCGCAGTGCTAGCGCGCGGCTACCGCGTTTTTCAGCCAGCCACTTTTCAAAAACCTGACGACGTTCTGAACATGTCCTAAGGCAAACACTAGCGTCACTAGCGCAAGTCTACCGCAAACCTAGCGCCCAGCTGCGGAATAGGTGTGTTTAGCTGGGGGCCCGCTACATAATCGAACAAACAACATCATAAGCCACCTTCGACCCCTTTATCTTGAGCGCTGAGCCGTTTGGAGCTGTAACACTGGCGAGCGAAATAGTTCGTGTTAGGCGCGTGCTAGTGTTGGAGGCGGTTGGGCGTTGATGCTGTTGGTCTGAATGTTTTGCATTTTGAGGCGAGACTTATGTCTCACACAGGCCTGAGTTGGTTGAAGTCCTCATGACTCATTTTCATGTTTTTTGGAGCCCAAGCCCTTCAAAAGACAAGTGGCCTGGACGGGCTTTTTTTGAGCTTGAAAAGGTGAGTCCAGGCCACTTGTTGTAGTGATCAGCCGAGTAGAATTTACTGGGTCTTTGGACCTGTATAGGGGCCTTTAACATGAAGCACTCCCACGGTCGTGTGCCTCCAGGTCAACCCCTCTCCCAAGGATCCCTCCACTCGAGTGCTTACAAGTGCGTAAGTATCATTCTTGGGGCTCGTTGCAGCTCACAGTTTGTGCCTCTGGTACTATAAAGTGAATGTTCTACTGCCGGCCCGGCGCGTCGGTTCGAGATGTGAGTATCAACATCCTGAGTGGGTTGCGCCAAGGTCCCCAATCCAACACAGACCTCCATCAGAGAGAGAGGGAGACGTTGCCCGGGAGAGCGGTCGGAAGATTCTTTAGCGACTGGCCTGGGTGGCCTCACCTTTTCAACCGCAAAAAAAGGCCCTTCCAGGCCTACGAGAAGGCCAAAAAGTGGCTCGAAGAGGCCTGGCCAAAAAGGGAAGAAGTTTGGTCCACAAAAAGGGTGGAGAAGTGCTTTGCAAAACAGAGTCGCGCAGAAACTGTTGATCGAAATGGACTAAGAACACCTTCGTTCAGATTCACTCATGGTCTTCGAACATGCTCACGCCACACATGTGAAGCCTCATTGCGCTCATCAGCCCATCAACAACATTCGGCTTACAAAACATCTGCACTATGAATGACTCTGATCGAACTCTTGGCTTCGAGTCAAAGAGATTGGTTGGTCAAGTCTCGAGGTTTTCTCCTGCCGTCTTGCAGCTTCTTTTGAAGCAACTTTCTCAGCCCTGTGCAAATCGGGAACCTCTTCATCTATATAGGCGTTGAGGAGCACAGGCCACAACTTAATCATTAGGCTATGATTCGGACAAATGAACAGATACAACTTCAACATTCATTTCGGCCATTGCTCAGCATGCCCATCAAACGTCACAAGAATCAAAACTGCCATCGCTCATGGCTGCTTCTACCTGCCGTCTTTCACACCTGCTTCCACTGTCCAGCCGGCACAGTGATCTGCTTTGAGCACACCAAAGCCAAGCCATGTGGAAGCATCGTTTCCTTCTGCATCTTCATGATAAAGACCAATCGCAAGGCATCAGAAGGAGCCCGGTGAACCTGGACAGTTTGCGCATCCTTGCACACCACGATCATCTTTCCAGCTTTTGCTGGCTTCAACACCTTGGGCGGCGTTGCGCATGGAAACGGCTCATAGCCGAAAAGGCAAGAGCAAGCAGGCTCTTTCTTGATGGCATCCTGGACCTGGATGTATTGCAACGATTCATGAAGCACCCAGCTGGATGGCTGCAGAGCGTACTCTACTCCATTTGCCGGCAGCTCAACACCTCGAACGACGTTGCCATCCGTCCATTTGCAAAAGACCGTTCCCTTGCTCATCCTTTTGTTTTTGGTGTCTGTGTTGAAGACGTGCAAAGTGCTAGGCCCATTCTCAGACACCTGAAGACCAACTTTGAGCCCATTGCACTCACCAAGCTCTACTAGCGGAGGCGAAGAGCCAGCGGGAGCACCAGAGCTCTCTGCCTTCGGCTTCTCCACCTGCACGGTCGCTTCCTTCTTCGGTGTCTCCTGAACTGTGGCCTCAGCTTTGGCCTCAGTTTTGGCCTTCTTTGCATCTGGGTTTGGCGGCGTCCTTGAAGATTCTGGCTCGCCCTGCCGCTTCTGAGGCGTGACCTGCTCAGGCTCATTCTTTGTCATGCCAGCATCTAGCTTTTGAAAGAAACTGTCCAATCCTCCAAGAAAGGGCGCTTCTTCCTCGTGAGGCTTCTGCGTGAGGTCATAATGAGGCCCATAGTTCAAAACGATAGGACCGCCACCAGCTATGCCTGCATGAGGGCAAAGGCTAATTATTTGTCAGTGGAGTATTGTACAGCTCCAGGACGTGCCTATTGTTCTCTTATTCTTTTCAAATTTTGTTTGGGATGTCTCACGCAGGCTCGCTCTCTGCTTTCCGGCATGAAGTCTTAATATGGGCACTTGGCCAACCCCAAAACAGTTTCATTTGTTGAGCACACCGTTTTGGACCATTGGATCTCTTGTAGGCTAATCACTTGAGCGTCAAAGAAAGCGTCAGCTAAGACCGCCACAGCAAATAAATAGAATGTCTAATTGGGAAAACCTGACAGAGAATAAATCAAACTTTTTTCTCCGGGGCCGGCCTTGTCCGGTTGCTGTCTGGCAAACGATCTTCAAGAAGCCGCTGGTTGGGCCACTGGCACAATCCATCTCGATGACGCTGTTTGGAAACCTGCGAATCCCAAGATAGTGGTTGATGTAGCCAGCCGCTCCCATCAGCACCACGTGCACATCAACCTTTTCGCCATCCTTGGCAACGTTGCCAACTCGCACAATACGATCGGCAAAGCGACTGTTGCCTTTCTGCTGCAAGAAGTCCTGCACCTTGTGGATGTCCGTGAAGCGCATGCCGTGGCACAGACAGACGACTTCTCCGTCCTTCACTGTTCTCCTTGGACTGTGCTGCTCAAAAAACATGAATCAGCCAGATCACACTTTGCCACCGAAAGAAGCCATCGGCCAGATCTTCAGTACATGTATACTTGGCATCAGCCAGATCTTCAGTACACGTATACGTTGCGTCCCCATCACCAAGAAACGAACCAGGTACGTACATGTATACTTTGCGTCCCCATCACCAGGAAAC